AACTCAGAAGCTTAACCACAGTGGCTGTGAAACGCAGGGGCACTGGAGGATACCAGTAGCTGACCTTTATTTAGCTTGAAGGCTTGCCAAGCACTTTGCATGTGGACTCCATAAGGGTAGGTACTGTTGGCATCTCCATTTTATACTTGAGGAAACAAACTGAGAGAAGCCCAATGACTTGCCCCAGGTCACCTATCATGAGGCAGGTTTGGAATTCAGGTCTTCCTGGTTCCAAGTCCTGTACTCTATCCACTCTACCATCTAGCTGCCTCATTTATCCAGATATCTGCTGGTGCTCTTTACCAAAAGCAGAGCATCTAATAACTTCTTGACTTGACTTTAAGTCATTTATTAAGCCCCTGTTTTGTGCCAAGCACTGTGCTAGGCACTTTGATGACAATTTTATCACTCAAAAGATGAAAGAACCAATGAGGGGAGATAGAATTCTATATCTTGTTTTCACTGACAGAAACAGGTAGGAAATGGGGGGTGGGGGTGTAGGAAGTGACTGCTAGCCCCTGCAGTTTGGGATAAAGGAGAAGAAAGGAAAATCCTAGCGTGGACACTGGATTTTGAGAGAACAGATTTCAGAGGTTGGCTGGATAGGATCCCATGGACTAAAATCCTACAGGGAAAGTTCTCAGGATTGGTGAAAAATTCTCAAGAATGAAATTCTGAAGACAAAAAAAAAAATTTCGATTTGGAAAGAATCTGATTATCTAAAGAGAACGATGTGAATGTGTAGAATATTTGTCAACTAAATTATGTTTTTAAAAGGTATGTATGGAAGCAAGGATAAGTAACAGGATGAATACACAACGTAGGCTAGTTTTGCAAGGTGCGTGTCCATGTTAAAGCTCAGAGTGAGCAGAGTCTGGTAAGGAATGCCAAGGACCAAGAGAAAGAGTGTGGGCAGTGGGAATAAGGTCTAGTGAGAGAAATGGGATCACAAAAGAGCCAGACCTACAAGCTGGATAGGATGGTGGTAACTGACAACAGAAGGCAGAGATGGCCAAGTCTTATTTTCCCTTGTTTTCTCTGCCATTACGAAAGACCTTTGGACTAGAAATGCAGAGCAAAAATGGCTAAGAGAGAGTTGGTACCAAAGGGTCCCCAAGTGATAAGTAAAAGAACACCTAACCGCCCTTGAATTCAGGTTACCTGGCACGGATGAACTACATCCTTAGGGACTAAAAGAACTGGTAGATGGAATTGCGGAGGCACTGTCAGTGATACCAGGAAAATCATAGGGAGTAAGACTGGAGAAAAGCAAATGTCCCAATTTTCAAAAAAGGGAAGAGAATAGACTAACTATACTATAGGTCAGTGAGTTTTTACTTCAGTTCCTGGAGAAAATACAGAATAGCTCTAGTAAAGAAATAGGTAGTAAATATCTAGCAAAAATATCTGCCTGGCTTCATCAAGAACAGGTCATGCTATGTGAAACTCATTTCCTTTTTTCCAACAGTTACTCAACTGTTAGATCAAGGGAATGTTAGACAAATATGATTTGCTTAAATTTTAGCAAGGCATTTGATAAAGCACCTTACACTCTGCTTGTGGAAAAGATTGAGAGATGTGGATTAGATGATAATAGCAATGAAGTGGATTTGGGACATGTTAAATGTCTAGACTCAAAAGAGTAAAGGTCTCCAGTGGAGTGTCCCTTTACTATTTAAGGACTTAAATAAAGGTATAGATGACATTCTTATCAAATCTGAAAATGGCACAGTGCAGTGAGGGGTGGCTAATAGATTAAAGATGGCTACAGGCTAAAGTGCTGGTCTAAATCTAATAATAAGAAATTCAGTAAGGATAAATGTAAAGTCTTACACTTGGGTTCAAAAAAATCATCTTCCCAAGGATAGGCTGGAGGAGGCATGGTTAAACAGAAGTTTCTCTGAAAAAGATAGAGTCCTTTATTAAACTTGGGCCTGAATACAATTCCGTAGTACATGTGGTGGTCAACAGAAGTAACTGGAACTGGGGCTGCGTTGAAAGGCATAATTTCCATGAAGAAGATAGTGATGATCCTGCTGTACTCTTCCTTGGTCAGACCATACGGATATTATGCTCCATTTTGGGCAGCGCAGCTTAGGAAGAAAGTGGCTGATTTTGAGAGGGTCCAGAGGAAGGTAGCCAGGATGGTGAAAGACTTTGAGGCCAGGGCATAGAAGAGCCAGTCTGAAGAAACTCACAAGGAAGAAAGGAAACCTGAAAGGGAAAATAGTGGCTGTTGTCTGCATGGAAGAGGGGTTAGGCTCGTTCTGCTTGGTCCCAGACGGTGCTTGTTGATTCATCGATTTCAGCAATGGCCACACGAGCACTTGACAAGTATATCATATGAAGATACCTCGATAGGTCTGGGTTGGACTAAAAGGACCCCAAGGCCCTTTCCATCTCCCCCTGTGAGATGGAACTGAATTTTGAAGTATGGGTGGCTGTAGTAATGGCAGTGCTACTAATAGAAATAGGGAAGAGAAGATAGGAACCTGGATAAGAAGAAAGTATGTTTAAATTGAGAAAATGATGGGACATCAAAGGACATTACCTAACAGGCAGTAGGAAATTTGAGTCTGGGACTAGACATGTCAGGACTAGAAGCAGGGATTTGGCAGCTACCAGCATATGGTGGGGTTATAGCTTAAGCCGTGGGTGTAAATAAGGTCATAGAAGGAGAAAACATACAGGGAGAAGAAGGGCCAGGCCATAAGCTTGAGGAATGCCCATATTTAAGGTGGGGGGAGAGGAAATAGACCTAGTGATGAAAATAAAAAAGAACCATCAAAGAGGGAGGAGAAGAACTAAGATAGCACCATCTAGGGAAGATAAAAGCACTAGATGTCAGATGCTTTAGATGCCAAGAATGAGTACTGAAAAAAGACCATTGAGTTTGACATATGGTATTAGGCAAGTGATAAATGCAGGAGGAGGCGGTCAGTGCTACAGAGATGGAGGCAAAAAATGGAGGCTCATATTTGGAGAAGATTCTTGGTAAAGGAAAGAAATACCCAAGTTAAGAGATATTTCCTCCAAATGACTATGGGAGAATGGGGTAATACTGGCAGCATTCCCAAGTCTCTGTAATCAGAAAATGTTAATGCCACAGGCAGATTGTCATTTGCTGTTCTCATAAAATATCAGGGTCTAGGTGTTGCTGCTTTATCAGCACTGTGTTTTAATTTTTTTAGGCTTCAGCACTCAATAGGTATTGAATCAGACAATAAACCAGATTTTCTGAGCCAGACACTTTGATTGGTTGATCTCATGACCCAGAATAAAGCAGTAATATTGCTTTATCCTTTCACTATCCTCACCACCAATTATGCTCGATGACTCTTGTTCAGAATCCCTTTATCTGTGCTTCTCTTGTTGTCCAAAGTTTGCTCTCAGTCTCTTTAAGCAAAGTATAGAAGTACTGATTCGCCCTAACCTTAGAAAATGGGAAATTAAATGTCTCTTCCCAAATATATCTGTCTACTTGCATGTTCTAATTTGTGAGCTGTGTCAGTTTATGTTCAGAGATTTCTTCCTCTGTCTCACCTATATTCTGAGTTTCTTTTAAAAGGAATATGATATAATTATAAAGAAAATCCACTTCTTATCCTTATACTAATCCAGTCGACAGTAGAGAGAGGAATCAGGATGGAGAATTTAGCTTTTCCTTCAAAGGATTCTTTGAAATCTGATCTCTAATCTGCTTGATTTGATGTGGACCTTCTGACAAATGTGGGAGAATAATCTGGACTGTGTTGTTCCCATGTGTGCTTTTCTCTGGCAACTCTTTCTGGGCAATATTGTCAATAAAAAGTAGAAATATAGAAATGAAAACTCAGCAAATGATTAAAGTCTATGCTCAAAATGTGAAATATGAAGAAGTGCTGCAGTATATAACAGGGAACACAAGTCTTCAGAATCAAGAAATTGATTTTTTGTTCTGACTCTACTACTGTATTAGCATTGTGACCCTGGGCTGATCACTTACAATGTAAGAACTGAACTGGATAACATCTGAGATCCTAAATTAGGTTTTTGTGAAATGCCCATCCTTTCTGTCATCTTTGTCTATATAGAAGAGTAAAAAGTGGAAATAGGAAAATGGAAACTCATAGCAATTGTCTGTCTTGCAATGTTGAGCACCTCAAAGTGAATAGAAGGGCTCACCTTGGAGGAGGGAGACCTGGGTTCACACACCGCCTCAGACAAGGAACAGTTGTGTGACCGGAGACCTGGGTTCACACACCGCCTCAGACAAGGAACAGTTGTGTGACCCTGTAAGCTCTCATGCAAGCTCTCAGGGCCCTCAGGCAGTTCTTCCTGCATTTATAATGCTCTATTCTGATGAAATCACAGGTCCAGACCGAAACAACTGTTATACCATGGTAACAGCTTCACATTGTTATGTTCTGAAAGCTTCTCTGAGCCAAAATCCATTCCCAAAGTGACTGATAAAATTAGAGAATTTTGGTAAACTACAAAGTAGAGTCTCCATTTCTTTAAGAACAGTATCCTATATTCACTTAGCAAAATCCTACTCTTGAGCAGGCCAGATGAGAGGAGCAACATGGTATTCTAGAAAGAGGATTGGACTAGGAAGGACACCTCTGGGCTTGAACCCCACCACTGACTGATCCTGGGCAAGTCGCTTAACTTTTGTGCGCCTTTCTCCTTATTTATAAAATGGAGATAACAATACCTTTCATACCTACCTCTTAGAGTTGTTGGGTGCAAATTAGATAAGTTTGCATCATGGCGCTGTGGAAGCAATGCTGACTGTGGAGTCAGAGCACCTGGTTCCCATCTCAGCCTGGCTGATCCAGAGTCTTTCACTTGACTTCTCTTGGCCTCAACTTGTAAAATGAGATTTTGTGTAGTATAAGTTCATGTTAAAAAAAAAAAAGTTACAAATATTTATCTGAAAATTTTGGATATACTCTGTTCTTTTTTATATTCAAAACTCTTTTGTACTATGAATAAATTCCAATTTTTTTTTTTTACAGAGACATGTGACCCAGTCTGGGGGTAACCGGAAATTCAAGTGCACAGAATGTGGAAAAGCTTTCAAGTACAAACACCACCTTAAGGAGCACTTAAGGATCCACAGCGGTAAATATTGGGCTTATCTCCAGGCAGCGTGGGAATTAATGTTTATTATAAACTGAATATTTTGTATTAAATAATGCAAGCATGGCTCTCCAAATATAGAATAAATTGTTCCAGTTTTCTACTTATTACTCGATCCAGTTAGGACAAATACAAGATGAACCTAACGTGACCGACTTCTTGAAGAAATATCACAGGAATCCTACTTCCAAATGAAAGTTGCCTTTCATGGGAGTCATTGTAGGAGACCATAGACTTCCTTCCATGACGTTGCCATTGCTTGAGCGCATCTCCTGTAACTCCCTGTAGACCCTGAGCCACACACAATCTTTTGCACATGCATAGTGAAAGAGCAGCAACCGCACACCGGGCTGAATAATGGTACAGAGATAGAAAGTCCCCGAGCTCAAGGAGTGGTGACTAGGGAAGGCCTGGCTGGTCTGTCTGGGAAGTCCCAGGGATGGGGCGTGGAGCCACAGGAGGCCTCTGTACTAATTTGATTTTGGTTCCCAGAGCAACAAGTAGAAAGTATGTTGGGGAAGGGCAGGGGAAGAGGTCACATGAAGGTCACCGAGGTGGACAGCTGGCCTGCCCATGTGAGATGGGCCTCATTTGCTAGTCAGCCCAGCTCAGCAGCTCTAAAACCGAGTGGGTTAAGTCCCCTATGAGGTGATCTCTGGAGAGCCAGTGGGTACCTTGCCAGGATGGATGGGGTGTGAGCATGGCCTGGTTAGTCTGGAGCCAATGTGGTACTACAGTGGGCTGTACGTGAGTCTTCATTCACCAAAAAGAACATCTCAGCCCCAGGGCAAAATCTCTGCATAATTTCAGTAAACATCTGTCCTTTGAGAATGAATTTGATTTTTGAAAACAGTAAAACATCACTCAAAACTATGTGGTGAATAAGGTGATTTGTTGCTGAGTCGTTTTTCAGTCGTGTCTGACTCGTCATGACCCCATTTGGGGTTTTCTTGGCAAAGACAGTGGTTTGGCCGTTCCTTCTCCAACTCATTTTACAGATGGGGAAACTAAGACAAACAAGGTTAAGTGAGTGGCCAAGGGTCACATAGCTAGTGAATATTTGAGGCCACATTTGAACTTAGATCTTCCCGACTTAAGCCCAGGCTCTCTATCCCCTGCACCACAAAATTGGAAGGGAACTCCAAGCTCCCTGACACTGGACAATACTGCTTTTTGACATAGCTTCTTTGAAGGGTAATGTTTATTTGGATGTATACATTCTGAAATGTTGGGTTTTTTTTTTAAACAGCTTCAGTCTGCTTAATCACATCTTCTGTATAACAATTTTTATAATGGCAAGTAAGTCCTGCCTTAAGAAATCTTATAGACAAAAATCCAAACCTAATCGAATGAATAAATTCTGGGTTATTATTTATATTTCAATGGAATTCCTTGAAGTAGCACTTTCCATAGAGCATTTAAGATGTGTTTGTTACAGACCGTTAACAGCTCGACAAAAATCTGATGATATTCCCCACCCCCCAAGAGAAACTTAGAGCTAAAGTGTTAGGAGCCTCTTTGAATTGAAGAGCAATCAGAAAAGAACTGAAAATGGCTCTGAAAAGATCAGGTGACTCGGTGGAGGTCAAAACTGCTAGGAATTTCTCAGAAGCAAAATTATTTGATAAAGCCAAGTAGTCTGTTGCTTTTGACATTAAGAACACGCATTTTTCCTGCTTAAAGAATGTCTTATTGACAGCATTAACATACGTCATTAAGTTAATAATGACCCAGTTCGATGTTCCCAGTTAAAAGATACTAAATCATAGTTTTACTCAAGAATTTTTTCACTTTCTGCAGAACATTCATCTTGTTACCCTTTTTTACAAAATGAACAAGGCATTGAGAAAATGGGGGGAAAGAGGCATAGATTGAATGGGAAGATAGAGATAGAAGATGAATGAGGGAATGAGGAATGAAAAAATGGAGAGGAACCCGAGAAAGAGAAAATGGAACTACGAAGAGGTAGAGTCAGTTAAAGGACAAATAAGGCGGGACAATCTGTACGATTTTACTTCAGTTAGCTGCTTCAGATCCATGCATGATGCCTTGTGTTTGTTTATGAAGTGCCTCGTAGTGCAAACAGTAACAGCAGGCAGCGCCCAGCCTCATTTTGTCTTCACAACAACCCTGGGAGGCAAGCGCTATTATTCCTCCCACTTTGTAGGTAAGGGAATTGCGGCCAACAGAGGCTGAGTAATTTGTACAAGGTTATGTACAAGGTTACATAGCTAGTAAGTGTCTGAGGCTAGATTTGAACTCCATTCTTCCTGTCTCCAGGTGCAGACCTCACAAAAACTTAAATAGAGAGTTTCATGGTATCCCACTTGGCAGTTAGCAATCTGATGGCAGTCCCCTGGGGAACTGAACACAGTTCCATTCATATTAACTAAGTTTTAGGGGCAGCTCGGTGGCGCAATGGATAGAGCACCGACCCTGAAATCAGGAGGACCTGAGTTCAAATCCGGTCTCAGACCAAACACTCGACATTCACTAGCTGTGTGACCCTGGGAAGTCACTTAACCTCTAATTGCCTAAAAAAAAAAAAAGTCACAACATATTAACTAGGTCTTAAGAAATGTTAAAGAAAAAAATAATTGTTAGCTAATGATTAGAAAAGTGGTTTTATTTAGTTTTAGTTTTGGGGTTTTTTTGGTACTGAACCTGTGATATCTCTGATGCTGAACTTGAACCCATCCTGCCTTACTCCAAGGCTAGCTCCCTATCCTCTATGTCACCTAACTCTTGACTATCCCTTGTTATAGCTATTTCAGTGACTATAAAATGTTGCAAACATGTATTTTATCCTATTGAAAATTTACAGCTAGATAACCAACTCCAGCATTTTTCCTTGCAATGGGTATCTGGCTTCATTTTGGAAATGAAGTCCTAAAAAAAATGTTCAGGGTATTGAGTGTTATATGTAAAATATAGTGGTCATTTTACAGTTTTTTATACCCCAGGCCTAGGACTCTTGGAAATTGATTTAGTCATTCTTATTTCACATTATCTGGTGGAGTGCCACAGGGCTTCCTTCCTTTCATAGGAAACAGAAATATTTAAGCTTTATGATCCCTTGTGAGGGATACTATAGAAAGGATTCCTCACTGAAGAGTAGGTTAGAACACACAAGTTCTAAGGTCCTTCCAACACTAATTTCTAAAGTTGTTCAGAATTACAAGAAGATCAGGTAACATTTCTGAGGATATCATTTTCAGTTATATGCTCTTAGATTTGTAATTTTGGCGTAGAAATTTTCTTTTTAAAGTTACTTCTAATTTCTCAATAAGAGGAAAATTGTACTTTGTCCTCATAGGATGCAGTTGATGCAAGTTTCGGATCATAAATACTACTTAAAACCTGTGAGAAATAACAGATGAGAGACAACGTGGTCTCAAGTCAAGGGATCTAGAATCAGGAAAACCTGGACTTAAGACCTAGCTCTGGGGCAGTTAGATGGTACAGTGGATTAGAACACTGGCCTTGGAGTCAGGAGGACCAGAGTTCAAATGTGGCCTCAGGCACATAATGCTCACTAGCTGTGTGACTCTGGGCAAGTTACTTAACCCTAATTGCCTCACCAGAAACAAAAAAAACCTGCTTATTCCCTTCTAATACAGGGCAGTTATGTGGCACAGTGGACAGAGCACCAGCCCTGGAGTCAGGAGGACCCGAGTTCAAATGCGGCCTCAGACACATAATGCTCACTAGCTGGGTGACTCTAGGCAAGTCACTTAACCCCATTGCCTAGCCAAAAAAAAAAACAAAACAAAACACCGAGCTAGATGACCCTGGCAAGGCATAGAACTTCTCAATGCCAGAGCAGCTCTTTAAAATGATAATTTGCATAGTAGGTGCTAAACTATGTTGGGAGAGAGAGTTTCCTCATCCTAAGGCCCCCATACCAATGAAATCACAGAGAGAAAAACCGTGTGTGTGTGTGCGTGTGTTTTAGAGAAGTTGAGTCTTGTTTGTTTCTTGGAGTTGGAAATCCTCTCAGGGTAACCTTGTAGAGTTTTGAAGTTTGTCAGCGAGGATTGAATATCCAACTTGTCTTTCCCTTCCCGTCCAGTCCCCATCTCCAGCCCTCAGCCTAGGGTTAATTCCCCCCTAAATTGGCTAGCTTGAGATAAGTAAATTGTATGGAGATGATAAGCTAGAATAATGAAAACCATGGACTTGAAAGACTCTGAAGTTGGACCAGAACACTAAGGGGAGATTATTTTGGCCTCTATAATTACTCTGATTGAGTTTTAAAAAGTAGAATCAGATACATGAAAAGACACCTTTTCTGTAAAAACATTTAGTGCAAACTAAGACTGCCTAAGTATCTGATATTTCTATAGCTTTTTTGTAAGTGTAAAGTATGTATTTTAAATACAAGTATAACATACACTGTGTCCTCTTTTGAAGGGCTCTAGGTTATTTGTTTTGGAAATATTCGAATTCTGTGTACTGTTCTTTAATAATACAGTGACTGTCATCTTTGTTGTCATTGTTTAGGAGAGAAGCCATATGAATGCCCAAACTGCAAGAAACGTTTTTCCCATTCTGGTTCCTATAGCTCACACATCAGCAGTAAAAAATGTATCGGTTTGATGCCTGTGAACGGCCGTTCAAGAACAGGGCTCAAGCCATCACAGTGCTCCTCCCCTTCTCTGTCAGCATCACCGGGCAGTCCCGCGAGGCCTCAGATACGGCAGAAGATTGAAAACAAGCCCTTGCAAGAACAGCTTCCAGTAAACCAAATTAAAACGGAACCTGTGGATTATGAATTCAAACCCATCGTGGTTACTTCAGGAATCAACTGTTCAGCCCCTTTACAGAATGGGGTTTTCAGTGGCGGTAGCCCCTTACAGGCTACCAGTTCTCCTCAGGGTGTGGTGCAAGCTGTTGTCCTCCCAACAGTAGGTTTGGTGTCTCCCATAAGTATTAACTTGAGTGACATTCAAAATGTACTCAAAGTGGCAGTCGACGGTAATGTTATACGGCAAGTTTTGGAGAACAATCACGCCAATCTTGCATCCAAAGATCAGGAAACAATCAGCTCGCCAGCCATACAGCCAGGTGGCCATTCCCTCATCTCCGCTATTAGTCTTCCTTTGGTTGACCAGGATGGAACAACCAAAATCATCATCAACTACAGCCTTGAGCAGCCTGGTCAGCTTCAGGTTGTTCCCCAGAACCTGAAAAAAGAAAACTCAGTCCCCAACAACAGTTGCAAAAGTGAAAAGTTGCCCGAAGACCTTACGGTGAAGTCTGAGAAGGATAAGCACTTTGAAGGGGGCGCCGAAGACAGCACTTGCCTTCTGTGTGAGGACTGCCCAGGAGATCTGAATGCACTTCCAGAGCTAAAGCACTATGACCCAAAGCAGCCTGCTCCGTCTGCTCAGCCCAGCACCCCCGAAGCTGAGAAGTCTGAGCCCCCTGTCCCGACAGACCCTGTAGAGGGTCGCTTGTCTCCCAGTCAGCCACCCCTAAAAAACCTCCTGTCTCTCCTCAAAGCGTACTATGCTCTCAATGCACAGCCAAGTGCAGAAGAGCTCTCCAAAATTGCCGATTCAGTAAACCTGCCCTTGGATGTAGTGAAGAAGTGGTTTGAAAAGATGCAAGCTGGACAGATTTCAGTCCAGCCTTCAGAACCGTCCTCCCCTGACCCAGGCCAAGGGAACGTTCCTGCCGATGACAACGATCCATCAGGACCTGCCAACACTGACGAGCCCCAGGACAGCACAACGACTTCAAAGAGTCCCAGGAAGGTGACGAAGTCTCCCGTTTTGCCAGCAGGGTCATCTCTGAACGGCTCCAGAAGTCGCACGCCATCCCCATCACCACTCAACCTTTCTTCATCCCGAAACACACAGGGTTACTTGTACACAGCAGAAGGGGCCCCCGAAGAGCCACAGGTCGAACCTCTTGATCTTTCACTACCAAAGCAACATGGAGAATTATTGGAGAGATCCACCATCACTAGTGTTTACCAGAACAGTGTTTATTCTGTCCAGGAAGAGCCCTTGAACTTGTCATGTGCAAAAAAGGACCCGCCAAAGGACAGTTGTGTGACAGACTCAGACCCAGTTGTAAATGTGATCCCACCAAGTGCCAACCCCATAAATATCGCCATCCCCACCGTCACTGCCCAGTTACCTACAATCGTTGCCATTGCTGACCAGAACAGTGTTCCATGCTTACGAGCACTCGCTGCCAATAAGCAGACCATCCTGATTCCCCAGGTGGCATATACGTATTCTACTACGGTCAGCCCTGCAGTCCAAGAACCGCCTGCAAAGATGACCCAGCCTAATGGAAATCAGGTAACTGAGCAGACAGCTGAGTGTGCTTTCATGTGTGTCCTATTGCAGTTTATTCCTACACTGTGAAAGTAGGTATTTGGGTATAAGGTATCAGATAAAAAGAAAATACTCTTTTATTTCAGCTTTGTAGGACGTTACTTTAAATGGTTAAGAAGCCCTAAAACTTAGTAGTTAAGGGAAATTCGTGAAGGTTAATTCATACCTCCAGTGTATTAGGTAGGTCCTCTGGGAGTGATCTGTGGGAGGACAGGAGGATAACAATTACAAGGGATAAAATGGCGTGGATAGGTGTGGCTGTTCCCCCAATGGAAGGGAGCATGGCAACAGAGATAAGGTCATAGATCATCTGGTAAAATAGACACACACACACACACACACACACACGCACACACACACACACACATACACACACTCATAGCTAAAAACCCAACTCTATCAAACGCAACTAAGAATATGTCAAAAACTAATTAATAACATTTTTGTTTTAATACTTCTGTTCCCAAAATTAGGAAAGAGCTTCCTCCTCAATTAAAACCATTAATAAATGAAAGTGTGTTGCATTTCACACAAGGGACCAAGGCTCAGCAAGTGTTTTCATGTGCTAACCTATGGAACCGAAGGCCTTAAGCAAACAATAATTACTCTTGATAACATAAAGATCTAGAAGATTCTTACCAGCTTTGGTCATTAGGCAGTATTCAGTTATAGTTAATATGTGTCAGGAAAATGCACATTCACACAAATTGAGAGCATATCCACACTGCTAAGCAGTGAATGTCTCCTCTCTTCCATCCTCTCCAAAGCGCCTTAACTATTTGGAGAGCTGCCCTAGGGCGACTAGGCATAATTCCCTTCTGTAGGAGCCCAAATTGTAACATCTCCATATTTTAGCCTATTTCTGATTCAGAAGAAACATCACCATTCTTTCAAGTAGCCATTCTGTCCTACCTTTCAGAGTAGATACATCTCATATAGGATCTATAAATTACAGGAAAAGAATTGTTTTATGACCAGAAAACCATTCCAGAGCATTTACGTGCGGACCTCCATTCGTGCGCTGTCACACGTCTGCCCAGCCCCCTGAGCTACAGACCATAACTAATCACCTGAGTAGATGATATGAAAATCATACTGTATAAACCACTACTTAGGCTGACACGAAGAGCATGTTGTAAACCTCTTTTTGTTTTGTTTTTCCGTGACTTGTGATAGCATAGAATTTTAGAAGTGGAAATCATCTCTAAGTTCGTCCAGTTGAAAGCCGACCTTTACAGCTGAGGAGACTGGTCCATCAAGGTTATTGAGGCTGTAACTATTCCATCCAGCTACAGAATTTAAAACTAATCAACTCCACTCAGCATTATTTGGCCGGATCAAAATGAAAGTAACTGAAAAGTAACTCAAAGGGCTCGTGAATAGTCTTGGAATATCGTAGCTCGTTGTTGTTGTTGAGTCATATCTGACTCTTTGTGACCCCATTTAGGGTTTTGTTTGCAGAGATACTGGAGTGGTTTGCTGTTTCCTCATTACTCATTTTACAGTTGAGGAAACAGAGGCAAACAGGGTTAAGTGACTGACCCAGGGTCATACAGCTAGTAAGTGTCTGAGGCCAGATTTGAACTTAGGAAGAGGAGTCTTCCCTCCTGACTCCAGGCCCAGTGCTCTGTCCGCTGTGCCCACCTTGCTGCCCATTATAGCTGTATACATGATATTATAATGATAAACTATGCCAATATAGTCTATTATGTAACAACATAATCATTATAATTATGTACCATTAATATTATATAATAATTCCAATTATAGAATTATAATATTCTAAAAACTATTGGGATTATTACAAAGCTAGAATAGGAAGTAGATTTGTTACTATAGATACTCCTTCCTGATGAAGAAACTCCCTGTCCTAGTGTGGGTGTATGCCTGCCCCACAACTTGTAGTCTGAGAGCATTGCCTGGGGCCAGTCACACAGCCAGGATGTGTCAGGTGCAGGACTTGAACTCAGATCTCTATCAGTCACATGGCACTGCTTCTTTTATATATAGTAAACATTTGTGATTTTTATAGCAAAATCCTTAAGGCCAAGCCAAATGGAAAAATCTTTGCTTCAGGCCTCACTCTGAACATTCCTCCTCTTTCTACACCTTTCTGTCTTTCCCAGTACATGAGAGGTCTGCAATCAAGGTGTGATCTTGCCCACCCAGCAAATTTTCCATCCCCAAAGACAAGGGAGGGCCCTTTGTTCACCGAGAGTAAAGGAACCTGCAGTCAGGCCACCACTAACTGCTTTTAATAATGATGACTATCCCAAAGACTCTCTTTAATGTCCTCCACAGTCCTCAACATCCTGAGATGCGCAGTTTGGCTTTGGCCTAGCTCAGCATAAGAACCAGTGGGGGAGAAAGTCGGGAAACTGTGTTGGGCCTTCTTCACCTTGCACCATTCTGCATGTTACATTAGCAAATAATATCATGCCCATGGTGTTGTTGGCAATTCTAGTCTTAAATCAAATGTCACAAGGTTATTATATAATAAAATGAATCATAAATCAGGATAATTACTGAAAGGCCTTTTGCAAATAAATGTGGTGTTCCAAGCAGTAAGATGGCATACCAAAAAATGAACAAGGTGATCTTACTTCTTGAAAATGTGTCATTTGTGCAAATGTGGTTGAGCAGTGGTTTTCAAATTTTTTGAGGTTGTAAAATGTTTTCCCACTTTTCCATTCCTGCAATCCTGACAACATTGCCCTCAAACCTAAAGAGTAATCAGATCTGCATCTCACATGATACTTGGTCCCAACCTCCTTCCTGGGAATACCTGGGATGGGATTGGGAACAGAGCACTGTTTTGTTGGCCAAGACTGGGGGGGAGGGAGGCTTTTGGTTTGTAATGTTTGGATTTAATAGCTTTTATGCTAGTTCATTGAAAATACAAACCAAAGCTTTCATTCTTATAAATATTTCTTCTGTACCCCTGTTGTCGTTTCTGGTTTTTGTTTTTAAATTTATCCACTTACCCGCTGTTGCTTTTCATTTTATAAAAATTCCTATTACATACATGTTTATGTTTGTGTCTGTATGTGTGTTTTTAATTTATCCATTTTACCCCCACAGGATGAAAGGCAAGACACTAGCTCAGAAGGAGTATCAAATGTGGAGGATCAGAATGATTCTGATTCTACACCACCAAAAAAGAAAATGCGCAAGACAGAAAATGGAATGTACGCCTGTGATTTGTGTGATAAGATATTCCAGAAAAGCAGTTCACTATTAAGACATAAATATGAACATACAGGTATGTCGGTGGTTCATATCCATATCACATTGAAAAGACCTGTGATCCAATGTGCTATGAAGATGCTAAATTTAAAAAAAAAAAAAGGTCCTGCCCAGCATCTCCTGTTGGTCCCCTACCATTCTGATCTTATAGTGGACTCTCTGTTCTGACCATCTGTTCTTTATAAATTACTTTATGAAGGAAGGATCCATTCATGAAATAATTGAGAAGACTTGTATTCGTCTTCTCATTCCTATAGGCTGCCACAGCACTTGATTCTTTGGTCTCCCTGCTCCATTCCCATGGGTTTTACTGGGGTTAGATGCCTTCTAAGTTACCCTGGCCCCCAGGGAGCCAGCAGGGATCCTCTCCTCACTACGTCTCCCAGGCTTCCTCAGCAGTAGTGCAAGCAGACTTTGTATGAAGTTGTCAGAGGACCTTATTTTGCGATAATAGCATTCAACAGTTGCCCATTTCTAACATTGTTTCTGTGCTGTACCTACCGTAAATCTAAAGCAAGGAGAGAAGTGAGGAACCGTTTGGTACCACTGCCTCAGAAGTGTATGGATGGGGAAAATTGCATCTCTTTTCACTAACCTCTAGCCAAAATTTAGCATTGCCTTTAATTACTTCAGACTTGATCATGAATCCATAGGCTTCACCAGACTACCAAAGGAGGCCATGGTCCACCAAAAGGGGGAGAACCTCTGATCAATCTGAAGCAGTATTTTTTTGCATACTGCTTAATGACATTAGGTAGAATTAAGGTTGGGTAATGTTCCTTTTCTGTCTTTGGAGAAAAGGGATGCCCCCATTTCTTTTCTGCAAATACCCCCTATAGGTTCAAAAATGCACCTGGTTCTTGCAGTCTAAAGGCGATAACTCATGGTAGAAGAAAAATCCTCAGCCCACCCCCCTTTAAATCATGTAATTCCTTACACTCTAAAATCAGAGAAGTCAGACTACCTCCCCCCCATTGGGGAAAAGGTTAAATACTTAGTCAAAATCAAATTGTCTATAAGGAAAGGAATCTGACATTTCAAAGTATAGATAAATAAACGTATGGTCCCTGACAAATTTATTTAAAAAAAAAAAAGAAAGAAGTACCTGAAGTTTTAAAATTAAGCTGTTTGACACTATTGGAAGCTAAAGTGATGGTATCTGTATCATGATCAGGTTTTTGTCAGTTTCCTTAACTATCTGGACAATACTTTTCTAACCTTCCCTGCCCTTGCCCTCTCATCCTGCTTCTCTTTTTGTATTCTACACAGTTTTGCAACTGGCTTTCAAAATAGCCATCAAGACGTTTGTGTAGGTTTTAGTCTGCGACGTTCTCATCTGAAAAGTGAGACCAGCACATTAAATATCAAAAAGATTGCTTACTTTCCCATCAATCCAGGCAGAATTTTACCTGAATCCCATATTATTTTTAACAAAATCTTGGTGAATGTACAGGCTTGGCAGTTTTCTGCCCTTCTAACCAACCACATCAGGTAACATTCTTCCCTCCACATCCTGAAGTGTTACAAAAGCGTAATTAGAAAATAACTTGTTCTTTTACTTCAAAGATCTCCTCTTACATTGCAGGTAAACGACCTCATGAGTGCGGAATCTGCAAAAAGGCATTTAAACACAAGCATCATTTAATCGAACACATGCGACTGCATTCTGGAGAAAAGCCTTATCAATGTGACAAATGTGGAAAACGCTTCTCACACTCGGGGTCTTATTCACAACACATGAATCATCGCTACTCCTATTGCAAGAGAGAGGCCGAGGAACGTGATGGCACAGAACAGGAAGAGACGGGATCAGAAGCCCTGACTCACGAGCATGCTGGTGCCAGGGCGTCTCCCTCCCAGATGGACTCAGATGAGAGAGAGAGCTTAACAAGGGAAGAAGATGAGGATAGTGAAAAAGAGGAAGATGAAGAGGAGGAAAAGGAGATAGAGGAACTTCAGGAAGAAAAAGAATGTGGAAAACCACAAGAGGAGGAGGAGGATGAGGAAGAGGAGGAAGAGGAGGAGGAGGGAGAAGGAGCAAACACTGAAGGTACTGGGAAGGACGAAGAGGCCGTCGATGGAGCTCACAGTGTAGAACAAGAAGTCACAGAGAATGGTGAACGAGGATCAAAAGAGAAGACAAAGGAAGCCTGATCGTATTTTTCCTAAAAGGAAAATAAATTCTTACTGGTAATGAAGTTTGTTCTATACTATACATGCTTTTCATGGAAACATGGTAGCTTGCATACCATGATTTCTCTTCACTACTGTGTAAAAAAAAAAAAAAGTTAAAAAAAAATACAAAAACCCACAAAAAAAAAAATATCCAGGTGTGCCTGAACCTCAAACCTAGTAATTTTTCACGCAATTTTCAAAGTTAGGAACAAGTTTGTAACATGAAGCAGATTAGAAAAATATAGTGACTCTGAAAGCAAAGATTTAACAGGTTGAAGGAAACCTGATTTATTAGACAAGCATCTGGCATCATTTTCTTTTATCAGTATTAATTTTTCATTCTTTTGTTGGTTAATTTTTGAGCTGTACAATTGGGAGAGATTTATATAATTTTTTATTGGTAAAACATTTGCTAAATCCGCTTCAGTATTTTATTATGTTTTTTAAAATGTGAGAACTTCTGCACTACAAAATTCCCTACCCAGAAGTACGATGCAGTTCCAAACCGCGCTGGCTACCTTCTGTCACGTCTGTCTCAGAGGTGGTCCATGTCTAACATTTAGATGCTGTAGTAGAGCATTTTATCATTTCAAGTGTGGTGTTAGCCTTCAGAAAGCAGCCCATAGAAGAACTGAAGTTTCTTACTTATGTGGTTTAAAATGTAGTTTAAAAGATTGTCGTTGAGTTCTGATTGCAGGGACTAACAGTGTTAATACTGGTAAGGACAGCGAAGTCGTCAAAAATCAGTGTTTGTAATTGTGTTTGAGTATGTAGTAACAAATATGAAGGATATGATATGAAGCTTTGTATCTCCTTTGGCCTTAAGCAAGACCTGTGTGTGCTGTAAGTGCCATTGATCAGTATTTTAAAGGCTCTAGCCGGCCTTGTTCAATGTGTGGCCTACAATAACTAGCATTTGTTGATCTGTATCAAAGTTCTGAAATGAAATGTCAGAACACCAATTCTGTCATTAGAGAAACAAAATCCCTGGAACATTTCATCCTTTAATTACTCAGTATTCATTTTGGGTTAATTGACTTTCAGAATTTCTCTTCAGTAATGACAAGGGAAAATTTCTAATCTGCTCTATCCATTGGTTTTAATTTCAGACACAAACACTTCATCATTATTTGGCTCATAACTGTTTCCAAATGTTAGTTATTATGGACCCCATTTATTAACAAAGTTAGCTGATTTGTACCTATCAGTATTATTTTTATTTCTTTTAGTTTATAGATCTGTGCAACATTTTTGTACTGTATGTCTTCGAACCTCGCAGTATTAATACCCTTCTTACTGACATATGTACCTTTTTAGTTTTAGAAAACTTTTATATTTATGTGTCTTATTTTTATATTTCTTTATTTATTACACAGTGTAGTGTATAATACTGTAGTTTGTATTAATACAATAATATATTTTAGTATGAAAATTTGGAAAGTTGATAAGATTTAAAGTAGAGATGCAATTGGTTCTCTTGCATTGAGATTTGATTTAACAGTGTTATGTTAACATTTATACTTGCCTTGGACTGTAGAACAGAAGATTAAAATGGGAATGTATTAGTTTTACAATTACAATCAAGTCATTTTACCTTTACCCAGTTTTTAATATAAAACTCTTAAATTTTGAAATTCACCGTGTGACTAATCGCATGATGCTCTGCAGTTTCATTAAGGGATTAGCCCGACCATAAAGCTCTCATTTCCTTAGAAAGCCAAACTAGAATAACCTTCTAGAAACAGCATTGGGAACAATGTCTAACAGTTCTGTGCCAATTTGTTCCTGTATTCATGTATGTAAGTTACAAATCTGAATCTTCATTTTTAAGTTCCGCCATGTTGTTACATCATGGTCATTTTCTAGTTTTTTACCAGACTCCCCCATCTCACAATAAAATGCGTCAACAAGCCTGACTTACTCTCATTCTTTTCATTGTCCTCAAGACTGGTTTTTGGAAAACTGCAAGATAGGCTGCTGCAGCATTACTCTGCTTCTGTGGAGTCTCTCCCCTGGAGCCGAGGCTGAAAAACAAACCTTTCGGGTTAAGTATTCACAGAAAGAGAAATGAGCATCTTCGGAGCAGGTCTAACGCCTTCTAAAATTAAGAAGAGGAACATGCACAGTACACATTCACAAATTCAACAGATGGAATATAAAGTGAAGAATCCTGTTCCCTTTTCTGATGTTTAGATTTTTGCTGTTGGGGCCTCATGCATCAGGGCAAGGGGAGAGAAGAGAAGAAATCTCTGAGGGGAAGTGCTTAGACATCCATTTGATAGAGTTCCTTTCATCTAATGGTTTGGAACACAGATGGAGGGAGATGTAACTAAGAAGAGCTGCAGATCCAAGGGGGGTGGGGCAGAGCCTGGAGGTCTACATAGGTCATCTTGCAGCATCCTTCCTCCTTTGTGCTCATCATTGTCCAATTCCTGCATCCCTCTATAACTAAGGAAAATTTTCCTCAGTCATATTGTGGTTTTAGGAACTGATTAAATTACTCCTCCCCATGGCATGTCCATTTTTTAAAAGGTCTCCAGAAAGAAGGCCGTGTTTAGCGCACAGGAATCAACTTCTAATCATGAAAATGTAGGCATCAGTGGAGATTTTTGGGTTCAGACCCCCATCCCACTGCTATCCAAGGCCAACAGGCGTTAGTAGAAAATACCAGTAGGACCAATCAAGATGTTTGCTGCCCTTCAAGTTCCCATTTGCTATAGGCCAAAGTCAGAGCACTTCACAATTTTTTTAAGTGGATATGAACATTTTTTAACCTATCCAAAAAAGGATTGATAGTCATAAAAATGAGCACTGGTCCATGTTTAGGCTTCAAGGCTTGAGAGGAACCAGGGAACCGGACACACAGCAGCTGTGATACTGGGTTCAAACCCGTGATTTGTCCAGCCTGATGTTCGGTCACTGGTACCAAGATGCAATTTAGAGGACAGGATCAGCCTCCCTGAGGTCTCTGTCAGAGAGCTAAAGACCTAAAAAAGATGTGATATTTATTGTCCTGCTGTTACAGTCCCTATTCTCTAGTATTTTTTATTTATCTTTTGAAAGAATTGGTGTTCAGTGGAATAACTGAGTACAGTTGATGTTGGCCAGGTTTTTGTGGTCTCCAAGCCCTAGAGATTTTGGGAGCTGTGTCCCCAGTGAGAGCCTTTCCAACTTTGGGATTCTTTGATTGGCAAGGCCAAAGAAAAATTCAGGTCAACACTGCTTCATTCTTAGAAGCCTTGCTCTTCAAGACTTAGTAGCTAGACCTTATGGTGCCTGGTCATACCTAGCCCAACACCTAGAAAATCAGGTCAGTTATTTGATAGGTATAAACTGCATTTAGAATTGTTTGAGATTTCCAAAGTCTTTAATAAAATTGAATGAACAGTGTATGTGACAATTAGCCTAGGCTGAGATTTACTCCAGGCCATGTCTGGGGAGCCTCCCTTTCATAGCGAAACTCCCAGAAAAAGCCATTTGCAGTTCTTGCCTCCATTTCTGGACATCCTTTCTCTTAATCCCTTGGGCATCTGACCCCACTCACCACTTGCCTGAAACTGCTCTGCTCTCTCCATAGTCATTAAATCCCTTTCATTTGCCAAGCCCAGTGGCTTTTACCTAGTCTTGGTTCTTCTGGATCTTTCTGTGGCTTTTGACCTGGTGGCCCCTCACATCTGTGTCCTACCCCAAGGCCGTCTTGAGTCCTCTTCTGCATTCTTTCTCTTGGTGCTCTCCAGCCCCCATCAGTTTAGTGATTGCCTCTATGCGGGTGACCCCAGAGTAAACCCATCCAGCCCTCCTGCCTCCCAAGGAACACCCTGTCTGCATCACCAGCAACCTTGTATGTGTCATATAACATCTTGGACATGTCATATAAGCATCAGCACATATCCAAAACACCACTCAAGATCTTTCCCCCCCAAACCACATCTTTTCTTTTTAATCTCCATTGTTGCCAAGTGTACCACCATCTGCCTAAGCACCCTAGAACATAACCTTGGAGTCATCATTAGCTTCACTCTCCATAGCCAGGAGATTCTACCTCCATAACATCTCTGCTCTTTTTTCTACATACAGGCCCTGATCACCTCTTGCCCTGATGGTTGCAGTAGCTTTCTAATTGATCTTGTATGCACTCTCCCCCTTTCCAATCCATCCTCTCCACAGATGCCAAATCAATATTCCTTAAGTGCAGATCTGACCGTCTCACTTCTGTGTTCAAGAAGCTTCAGTCGCTCCTCACTGCCCCAGGATAAAACAGACTTGCCCTTCACAACCTAGCTCCAGCCTTCCCAGATTGATTTTGTATCACTCTCCCCCACATACTCTTATACCCGAGTAGAAATGGAAGCCAATGAACCATTAGGATCCCCGGGGGGGGCATGTTGGAGTAGAAAACCATATATTTACATCCCATTTTATTAGATTTTTATTTACTCTGTTAAATATTTCCCAGTTATGTTGTAATCTGGTTTGGGCTGCATGGTTGACCACCTGCTCTATATTCTAACCAGAAGGACCCATTGGCTATTCCCTGTATGTGATATTTTACTCATGCCTGAGAGGCTCTCTCCCTTGTCCCCCAGGTTTCTTGGGATTCCTTGCTCACTTCAGATATCATTTCCTACAGATTTTTTCCATTTTCTTCCTACACGCCCCTACAATGCCGCATGTACACACACACACACACACACACACACACACACACACAGTAGTTGATGTTCTCCCTTCTTCTCCCAGAAATTACCTACTAAATTAGTTCATGTCCTTATATATTAATATATGCATGCATGGATTCTCCCTCTCCCTAATACCACATCCCCAGAAGATGAATCAATAAGCATTTATTAAGAATCTACTCTATGTAGAGCATTATTCGAAGACAATAGAAATAAAAGAAAATTGGTGCAGTCCCTGCCTGTAAAGAGCTTACATTCTACTGGGAGGGATATTATAGCATGTACAGGCACACAAATAAATGTAGACTACATACAAAGTACACGGGGTGTGGGAGCACTGGGGTAGTGCACTAACAACCAGAAACGGAGAAAGCTAAGAGGTGGCAGCACTCAAAGTAGATGTCCCAAGAAACAGAGATAAGGCAGGAGGGCACCCCAGGTATGAAGGATAGCCTGTGCAAAGACAGAACGTCATCTCCAGGAAGCTTAGAGGGCATGAGGCTTGTATGGAAAGGAGCAACATGGTCAGAGCTGTGCTTTAATGATGACAGACAGCTGCATGGAAGAGATTAGAAAAGGGTGAGACTGGAGGGTCAGAGACCATTTGGTAGGCTATGGTGACAGACCACCCTGGAGATGATGAAGCCTGACCTAGGGTAGCCTGAATGCCAGAACAAGAAAGAGGAATCAACTAACATCCTCTGAAACGTCCCTTTTGTATTTGTATAGAACAGAGCTTAGGGCATAAGAGGTACGTAATCAATGCTTGGTTGATTGAAAGGACAGATCTTCTCATCCCTGTTAAGTACCAAGGAACTATTAAAAACAAGATAACATGGACAGAAACCAGTGATATTTTTTGTCTTATAATAAATTTTGCATTTCATCTGACTAAAGACAAAAATACCCATTCCAATAGCCTATGGGTATATGGCAAAGCCAGAAGCAGTAATAAACAAAGTATTTTGAACTCTTGGGAGACAAGATTAAGTTCCAAAGCAGCGTTGTTAATATTCTTTGTTAAAAAAAAATTATTTTTACATAAAGCTGGTTTCTTAAAAGTTTAATAAACACCCTAAAAAATTTACCCCATCGGAGGATAAGGACACTTGAGGATCACTGGAGATAGTCCTGTATTGGCTTAGAAAGCTATGAAAAGGAATAAGCTTCGTCCTCCCACTAGAACAGATCAAAGGTCAAGCACATATTATCTAATCAGAGGATATACGGAGATAAAAATTCCCTCCTGGAGCTTCCACTTACAAAAAAAAACTATAATCGGGAGGGGCAGGATTGGCAACTGAGAAGAAAGGCCTCTCTTTAAGAAGTGGTATTTAAACTAAGCTTCAAAGGGAGTTCTTAGAAGAGTCAAAAGTGAAGTGTAAGTGCATCCTAGGCAGGGGAGACAGGAAATGGAATGACATGTATTCGAAGTAGCAGGCAAGCCATTTTGGCTGAAAATGTACAGCATGTGAAAGGGAATGATATATAATAAACCTGGAAAGGTAGATTGGAGCCAGATTGCCAAGGACTTAAAATGTTATACAAGAGGACAAGAATGCTTTAAGGATTGGTATCAGCTGTTAATATACCTACTTATAAAGTGAATGATAAGGTGATGAAACATAAAATTATACTAAATAATCACTACTTTAAAATTTACTTGAGATTTCCAAGTTATCTGATAAAACTGAGTAGGCAGTATATTGGGGCACAGGGGAGAATGACACAATGATAAACATGGAGGAAAAGTTATGGTGCTTGAATACTCTTAACTAAAATGAAATAGTTTGCTAGATCTTAATTCAGTCTTTGAACAATACATTTATGGAACAAAAAGGGAACTAAACAAATGTGGGAATGTCATTCTTTGGCTAGTTGGTGTACCCCCCATTCTTTGCCGGGTCTCCTTATTTTGGAACTAGAGAGGAAAGTTGCTAGCCAGAAGTGATTGTAGAAATCTCACGTTCTTACTATAAAAATTGGAAAATGAAGACATAGAAAGTAGAGACGATAAAATCAGTATAGAGGCTCTTTCTCTTTCCCATAAGACAGTGTCAAGATAAGTCATCAAAAAAGAAAAACTGAAGAGTGAACAGGGGCTTTCTTCTCTTAGGGTAATCATAGTCAACTTAGGAATTAACTAGCTAGTAACAATATTACCACAAGTTTTACATTTCTATTTCACCTAAAAAAAAAAGAAAGAACAGAAGTCTCTGACTTCTGGTAAATGACTG